CGTCATGCACCATCTCCAGATGCTACCTTTAATGAAACAGCCTCTCCGAAACTCCAAAAGGTCTCGGATTCGGGGATCCTCCCTACTTGTAGGACCGTGGGACTTAGTAAGTATGGTTATATAAGATATAAGAAACCTCATTGGAGTTATAAGTTATAGGTACTTCTTAGTATACAGACCCCAATAAGCACCCTAGTTACTAAGTGCCATGATCCTCTGAGTAACCCAACCCCCCCCCTTTAAGAACCCCTAAAGGGAACCCTACATAGAGCCTTACAGTACCCTGAAAAGGAACCCGAAGTCCCACAATCCTTTAAGTAGACCTTAAACCCTAAACCCTACGCCTTGATCCTGGAAGCATGGGCCTGACGCGGCCTAACCTGCCCTGCCAAGAACGGGCAAGGCTCAAGCAGCAGGGTTTAGGGTTTGGGGTTTAGGGCCCACCTGGTCGTGTAAGTATGTTGTACGTACCTTTGTTGGGCGTATATAGTGAACCCCAGAAACTTGCAACATGGATTTTAGATGATCAGTGCTGGGACTCCCTTTACTTTGCCTTAAGGGCATGAGGATTATGGTGTTCCAACTTTCTGGCTTCTATTGTAAGCAATTAGTTATGAGTATAGTAACCCTGATAATAACCCTAGTTACTAAGTCCCATGATCCTTTAAGGAGGAGAAGATCAAGCATGATCCCGGAGTCCAGCCACCTTGGTCAGGCCGTTTGCAGTTCGGAGCAATCTCAGGGTCCGGGTCGTCGTAAGGTCTGGGGCATGGAAGCACACTACCCCAAGGGCTCCAAGTATGCAAATGGTACCTACTTTGGGGCCTCAAGTCTATAAATAGGACCTACTTTGGGAGCTTCCTGAAGGACCGCAAGCTGAAGTATGAGAAGAAGCAAGATGAGGTCATCCAGGCGGCAAGGAAGAGGCCGGGGGCGAACATGCATGTGGTTGAAGAGGCCTGTCATGCTTCCTGTCGAAGTCGTCAGTTTCACTTTAATTCTGCACAAGTTGTTGAAGGCCGCAGGTGAGTTTTTAGGGGTCGGTTCAAGGTGAAGTGGCAGTTTGTGTGCCCGTGTGGCAAACTCAACAGGTTGTCTGCAGCAACGGACGTCACAGAGCCGGCGAGTACGCAGAACCGAAGACTCATTCACTGGTAAATAGAGCTGAGTCTCTATCTCCGGCACACCTGTCAGTGCTTTGAGTCAAATCCAGATGTTGCTATGCTCCAAACTCACCCACGCAATAAGCACCGATTCGCCAGTCAGAAAGCAGGCGCTCAAGCCCTGAAGCCCCCCATCCGCGACAAAGCAGTGAGTTCCTTGTTGGGCTGTAATAAACTCCAGGAAAGCCTTATCTCAAAACTTCGCCCCTAAGCCTAATCCCAAAGACAGCAGCCCCAACAGGACGGAAGAGGCCCGCCAAGATTTCGAAAAGAGTAATGCCAAGATACAGGCGATGGAAATTACGGAAAGCGGCCCGGCGCGGACCAGCTGAGGGAAGGTTTTTTGGCGGGCAGAGGGATTGGGATTTGCAGCGCGATGCGCATCTCAGGTTAAGAACTTGGCGTTCTAGCATGTTGGATTTGGGATTGTAGGCTTGTCCGGACAGGTGAGCATTCCGGTGCTGGCTTTCAAAGGATGTCCACAGACGCTTCGGTTAGACCACTGCTGCTGACTCGTACTTCTGCTGCTGCTGCTGCTGCTGCTGCTGCTGCTACAATTACTCCTACTACTACTCCTCCTGCTGCTGATGCTGATGCTGCTTCTTCCGTTGCTGCTGCTAGTACTACTGCTGCTGCTGCTGCTGCTACTACTACTCCTCCTCCTCCTCCTGCTGCTGCGACGACGATGGCTACTTCTATTTGTGCTACTACTTCCCCAACTGGACGCGAGATACGACCTCTCCTTCTGCTCACGTGCTAATCCCGGATCGTAGCTTCGGCCGAGCCACGAGCGATTTTGGACCCCCCCCCCACACACACACACACACACAGTCTGTATACAGGTTATCAGTTTTCCGGTGTTGGATTTCGAACGGGTAGGGTTTTGATCGCACGTAGGATTTTTTTGGGGGGGTTTAGAGCTTGGGTTCAGGTGTGCAGGGTTTAGGGACTGGGTTAAGGATTGAGGTCTTGACACTTGCGGTTTTCCGCGACTTTGTTCAACGATTGACAGCCAACACCTTTCGTTTGGTCGAATGGCTAGCAGCAGATCGACATTCGATGGCAAAACTCCTATGCCTTACAGATTCAACTCCTACCCTTTAGACACTCCTTCATTTGGACCCTCGCACGCACGTCGTGCAGAGCGAGCCTCAAAGCCTTGCCAGAGCCGATTTCGAGCCTAGTTCTACCCATAGGCTCTTAAGTAGTTCCTTTTTGTGGTTCATGTTTAGAATCCTATAAGGTAATCCCAAAAAGGAGCTATTTAGGAGCCTATGGGTTGTTCCATAGACCAATAAATAAACCCTGGGCATCTGGAGTTCCATAAGCCCTGTGCCTCTGAGGAGCAAGCTGGGTGAAGAAAGTCCGCGAGGCCGCGGAAAAGGCAGGGATCTCGTCGCACCCTGGACGGAGTTGCAAGCAACCGCAGAAGCTCAAAGTTTCCTCTGAGTTAGGGTTTAGGGTCTAGGGTTTAGGGTTTAGGCCTTGGTAACCTTAAATCTGGGCTCCTTCCAATTCCAAACTCAATTGTTAAGTTAATTAGTTCTACTAAGTACTCTCAACAACCTCTCCGACTGCGGTCACTCGGGCCCACGCACGGTCGAAGTGCCCACACACTTCTGCACACAATGTCAGCATTTAATATTTACGGCTCCTCCGGCAAAACTGGCCCTTGCAGCTTTTCCAGCGTCCTCAAACTCCGAATTCTAAGTCATTACTACGCACAAGAATGCAACGGTAAGGGCGAAAGGCAAGACGAGTCAAACCGGCAGAGCTTTAGCTTACGGAAAACCCTAGTTTGCAAGCAATAAACACAAAGCCCTACTAACTAAGCCGTAATCCTTGAGCTTGCTTTTTCATCTGCGAGGCGCTGTGTGCTTCTCCCACCAACACCGACAACTTTGGCGGCTCGGAATACCTATATATACTTCGAGGTTTCATCTGAAATCTGAACCCAGCAGGTTTTGGTGTAGGCCAGGGAAAACCAGGATGAATTTGTGCATTTGTTTGGGCAGCGGTCGTTGTACCACCTGAGATGAACTTGTAAGACCCACGTACGACATGAATATGCAGCCGGAGATCACTACCTAGTCACGACCAAAGATTCAGGGTTTCAGCTGCCGACCGACGTCTACCAGGGTGCAAGGTGGTAGACTGATGGGTTTTGCATGACGTAGAAACAAGTATCAACTTGCGCACGTCGCTTTGAGCTCAGGGCGGCAAACCCTAAACCCTATAAGCCCTAAACCGTGGCAGGGACTGTTTGATTTCCTTGCTCCCTAAACCCTAAACCCTAAACCCCTGGCAAGGTGGATTGGAGATCGTATGGACCGAGCCTCCCATCGTCCGCGGCACCACAACGGAGGCCGATTGCAATAAGATATCAGGTTTTTAGGGTTTAAAGTTTAGAGCTTAGAGTTTAGGGTTTAGAGTTTAGGTTTTAGGGTTTAGGAGGGAGACGTTAGTAACCTCAGCAATAGCTTGCAGCTGAGATTTCAGTCGGGACGGATCTTGGCTGGCTTGCGATCGCAGTTGTTGCCTGACGAAGCGTAGCCATCCCACGTAAGCTCATAGTTAGATTAAACGTCACTGGTCAATGACGAACTGACGAGTGGAAACGTTCACCCTGTTTGCAATCCCGTTATTTCACCAGTAGCCAGAATATGATTCTGGCTAGCATGTCTCCCTGAAAGATCTGTGTTGAGGGACTACTACACAACCAACTTTATTCTGGTCTGCTGCCCGCTGCTGGTACTGTTGTCGTGGCTGCGCTTGCGGCTGCCACTGGCATTGCTACTTTAAGGATTGAGTTTCCTCCATGGTCACTGCAACAGTGGTGAAAGCTGCAAGTGCTTTGCGATTAAGTCAGCGCATTCATTCCGGTGTGTTTGTGTTTGCTGTCGGTGTGCTTGTTTGTATGGGTCATGCGTTTACGCAGCGGGGTTTACTCTGTTTGGTGTCTTGCGGTTGAACGAATCCTGACTGGAGCAGAACTCCAAGAGCAGGATCAGATATAGCTCAGAACCTACTTGGACAAGAGCCTCGGAAACCCTAAACCCTAAACCCTACCCAAAACTGCCTCAGAACGGTGAGGGAGGGTAAAGCCTCCCGGTATACAAGGCCTGAAGTGACCCAGCCCCGCTCTTGCTGTTAGGCAATAAAGAAGGACCCAAACCCACAGGCCGCGAGGACCCACAACCCGACAAAAATCCATCTCAGTTCTGGTTGTTGTGAAACGCACATTTTCTGCAGAACTGCGCCGGTAAGCAGAGAGCAAGAAAGCCCCCGGTGAGGGGGGTTTGGGGGGTGAACCCTAAACCCTAATTGAGAATAGTTGGGGTGGTTGGCCCCTATTCCGCCTATTCCTAAAGTAAAAGGCGCACACGCCGCGCGCACACTGTCTACACACCCTATAAACCCTAAACCCTAAACCCCACCCTGCAAAACCTGATGCAGGTAAGGGCCTTTCTTCGGTGCCAGCGGGGCGAAGCACTTGCAGCCATCGACGGGAAGGAATTCCAGGGTCCTTGTTGGACATAATTTTACATTTTTGTTATAATAAAACCCTAATAAGGATTAAACATGATCATGTTTGATATGACCCCAACAGGGAACCAGATTCGAATGCCTGCCAAAGATACTTTCAGCTCTTGTTGAGATTTGACAATGTTGGGGCCAGAGGGCTCTGGTCTCAAAAGGTTGAGGGTTTAGGGTTTAGGGGTTTAGGGGTTTAGGGTTGAGGGTTGAGGGCAAAGGTTTGAACTAGGACTAGGAGCAAAAAGCTTGGATGGTGCGTTAAGTTTCCCTGGGTCTGGACATGGGGAGGACGTGCAGCAGATGGGCCGCGCGCAGATCTTGCAGGAGCTGGCGGTGTTCGACGGTTCTATACGGTTTCTTCCGCTGGACAAAACCATTGTGGCCTTGTTTGCAGCATTTGCGAAGCAGCGTGCGCTTTCCGAAGAACAGCAGGGAGTGGCAGAAGAACAGCAGGGAGTGGCAGAGGAGTATGAGGGAGGGCCTCTGCGGCTGATCGGCCAGATGCTTCAAGCTCTCGTTCTGATTCCTTTGCTCGTCATCGCGTTGCTGGTATCCTTGGCCATAAAGTGCTTCCTGGGTAAGGCCGCAAGTCCGGCCCAACTCCGGAGCTCTGTCCGTAGATTCGCTGAGAAAGCCTTGAGGCGTGGACCAAGGGCACTTTTGGACTATCCCGAGGGCCACAACTGGATCGGCGGTTTGGACATGATTTGGACTTCCCCCCCAATGGTGCGAAGGGTTCTTAGGCTCGAGCTTCAACACTGTTGTTTCTGTGTGTTTCTCCCGGTTGGTTCTGTTCAGGAGTGGCCTGCAACCAAAGCTCAGGTTAAGCCACATCTGCAGCAGATATCCGATTTCGAGCCCGGCGATCGCCTGGTATCCGTGGGCGACCAACCGACAGAGGCTTTGGGGCGTGAGGAGGCAGCTGTCCATGAGAAAGAACATGAGTACTAAGCATGCCCAGAGACTCCAATATCCCTGAATTAAGGAATATACCCTTAAACTAACTTTAGTGTAGGAACCCTAATAAGATTTAGGGTATACTCCTTAATTAGGGAATATTGGATTCTCTGGGTGAGCTAGAGGAGCTAGGACCACCTACAGATGCACCAGCAGAACAAGATGGCTCCATGCTGCAAGAAGTGTTCCCATCGGGATAAGGCTAACCGAAGTTACTGTGGACTTGTCTCAGCAGTGGCTCAAACACCTATTGATATTGTTGCAATAGCATCTTTACGATAGCGAGGGTATATTGCGCAGTGCCCAACATGGACATGCCTGCAACATCAGTTGCCATTGTACCTGTATTTATCGCATTCCTTAATTAGAGTCTTGAAGTTCAAATCAGGCCATCTGGAGAACTGAAGCACTTGTGCAAAGTCGTCATGTCCGATCAGCCTTGCGCCGTACGTCTGTGACAGAAAACTCAGACACCGCTGTTGCGAATTGGGTACTAAACTAGATTTCTAGTATTGCAGTATCAGTTGAGACACTAGCAACAAAACGTGGACTTACTGTCACTTGTGCGGTGCACCCGTACAAGGATGTGCAAATTAGCCGCCATCCCAAACTTAGTTTTGTGTACTCTGATACCTTTGTCTTCTCTCAGAAGCTCACATCTGCAACGAGAGGTGCTGCAACTTCTCTCCGGCTCCAATTCCGGGCTCACCTTCATGAAGGGGGAGAGGCCCGGAAATGCAACAAATCCAAGTTCACAGCAGGTTTCGGTGGTTTTGGGAGGCTGGTGTGTCGGGCTTCCTGGATAAATCAATCAACGGGGCTCGAAAAGATACAGAGGGTCGGTTGGAGGTACATAAGCAATACCGAGCAGAAGTGTAAGCCGTGGGCCGATTTGACCATATTCCTTGCTGTTGTTGATGGAGAGAGTGACACAGTTGCACAACGCAAGATCCCGAAGCATCCATTTCTCGAAGCCACGACACCCCAGTGCGTGTCTGATTGTCCCCGATTACCTATTGGTGTCCTTTCGCAAGTCTGGCAAGAACACTTATTCATCTTGTTGTGTTGCCTTTGTTTCTAGCGTTTGCAATCTATCTGAAATTCTGTTTCCAAGTCTTGCTGCAAAAGTTATGCAGCCCCATCTCCATGCTTCCAAAAGCTTTTGACATGGGGAGGGTTCCGAAAGCCTTCAGACTCGCAACACTTGTGCAGGAGATTTACAGTGACATGAAATTCTGCAACTTTGGACTTCGGTTTCATTTTGTATCGACCGTATCGGCTAGTTGTTCAGGCCTCTGTATATTAGTAGCATCGTAAGCTTCCTGCCTCGCCATGTGCTTAGCATCTCGAGCCCAACTGCTCATGCCAGATTCGCCAGATGGCAGCAGCAGCAAAAGGATGAGGAGAGAAAGAAGCTGAAGCTGCAAGCCGCCGTCAGACGCCAGGTGCATTTAGTACGGAGGCCTGATGCCCTGAACTCGGGACCGAATTTTCTCACATCATTCGCACGCACCCCCCCGCAGCGGCCAGCTTCGTCCTAACATCGTCCGCACCACAGTTAGGGTTTAGGGTTTAGGGTTTTGGGGTCTAGGGTTTAGGAGGACCATCATCCACAATCAGAAATCGCTGTCGTCACCACAGCTATGAAAGCATCGGGTTTATACTCTGTGAGGAAGTGGAGTGGGTTGGGTTTGAGATGGACCCTAACCCTAAACCCTAAACCCTAGAACCCTAAACCCGTTTGAGACTGAATTTCTTCAATTCTCCCATCTAGCCGGTTTAGGGTTTAGGGGTTTAGGGTTTACGGTTTAGGGTTTAGAAGCTGTTGTACTGTTTCGGGGCGAAGTGCTTATACCTTAGGATTTAGGTTTAGGGCTTAGGGCCTTAGCCTCACCTCCGATGACTTTAGACAAACGCGGAGCCCACACCGGAAAGGCTCCAAAGCTAAACACCTGCTGCTGGCTAGGGTTCACGGGCGGCGGCGGGGTTTAGGCTATAAGGGGCTCAAGCCGTAGCATGAAGCTAGATGGGTGGTTCTCTAAATAAGGGTCCCTTTTCAGGTCCCCGATATAGTACGGCACCCTTATAAAGGGACCCTAACTTAGAGCACTACCCATGTGTTCTCACTTTGTTCTTCATTCTAACTTACAGCATGACAGGTCACCTAGTGTAAATTTGAGTGACCCATAGGATCCATTGTGTGTTCTTTTTGAGGTTACATTAAAGTAGGATTCTAAATGCAAACCACGAAGAGGAACTACCATGGAGCCTTTACCCTAAACCCTAAACCCCTAAACCCCTACACCCTAAACCCTAAACCCTGCCCCCCCTAAACCCTAAACCCTGCCCCCCTAAACCCTAAATCCTACACCCCTAAACCCTAAACCCTAAACCCTAAAGAAGTCCCCCTTAAACTCTTCAGGAAGCCCCTGGGGCCAAGCCCTTCAATTCCGACCACGTCCATTCAAGGAAGTCCAAGGATTTAGGGCTCAGGGTTTAGGGTTTAGGGTTCAGGGCTCAGGGTTTAGAAGTTTAGGGTTTAAGGGCTCCGGTTTTTGAGTTCACGTCTTGGCATTTGGGTTGTGGGGCTGTTGCGGCTTCAGGGTTTCTGGGGTTTCTACGGTCTGAGTTCATGGATCTCAAATCAGGGAACGCCCCTGGCTAAGGAAAGGTCCTGAAGGACAAAGGCTCCCGCCGTGGTTTCAACCGTGCTCTTGAAGGCCAGGGTTTAGCTGTAACCGAAAAGACCTACCTTTTTAAGGAAATATATATATATATATAGAAACCATAATAAGGAACCCCAAAGAAGGTGGGTCTTTCCGGCTGCAGGTAGGGTTTCGGGGAACTTTCATTTTACAGTTCAGGATATGTCCCAGCCCCTAGTCTTCACGTAACAGATCTACCAGGAGCCTCCCAGAAGCCCTTGAATAGCGCCCTTCTGGTCCTTAATAGAGGGTACTTGGGGTTGAGGTTAGTTGGGAGGCGAAGGGGGGTTGGGTAAACCAATTTCCCGAACTACTGTCTGCTACGGAGCGTGAATTTGACTGGATGATCTTGGCCGGGGTTTCTGGCTGTTTGTGGAGAAGCCCGCCGACGATTTCTTAGGTAGCTTCTGCTTCCATGCAGGGGGACAGAGACCCAACACAGGAGTTTGGGAAGACTTGGTGATGGATTCAGTGGCTGTCAGGGCTTTGGGGGTCTTGCGGACGTCGTTCTGCCTAGATAATCTATTCCGACTCCGATTGCCAACGATTTGGCGTTCTGGATGGTGCAGTTTTGTTGCTTGAGCATCTAGGGCCATAGCACCGTGCATTTGCAGTATCTTGTCGCACATTCGTGAAGTGTGGAGCCCATGGTCACTTGCCTGTTTTTCAATCAAGCCGTGCGGGATCATGGGTTTCGAGTTGGTTTGGGTCAGCCCAAACCCTGTACCTGTGACCCTGAGCCCTAAACGCCTAAACCCTAAACCCCAAACCCTGTACCCTAAACCCTATAAGCCCTATAAATAACCCTAAACCTGTGACCGTGAGAATCAGAAGCATTGGGAACCACCAGCCCGCAAGGCTTTCCGGGGACACCAGGCTGAGGAGCCCCAACACTGATAATTAGGGTTTAGGGTTTAGGGTTCCGGGTTCAGGGTTTCGGGTTTAGGGTTTAGGGCATAGGGTTTCGGGTTTAGGGTTTCGGGTTCAGGGTTTAGGGCTTAGGATTTACTTCAAGCGTGATCCTTGCTGACTCTGAACCCACGAACCCTATACCTGGTGAGGCCAGGAGCTTCCTCAGCTTCCGAGACATGTGGTATATCTGAAAAACTGACTGACAAGCCTTAAAGCCCAACCCCAAGTGGATAAACTTGAACCCCTAAGCCCTAAACCCTAAACCCCTAAACCCCTAAGCCCTAAACCCCAAACCCCAAACCCTAAACCCTACCAAAACCCCAAAAGTCTGCTCCTCCTCCTCCTCCCTGAGGTGAGTGAGGGGAAGCCCGAGGTCTGAGTTCGGAGCGCGACAGACTCCAACACAGGGCTGTAGAGGGTTTAGGGTTTAAGGTTTAGGGCTTAAGGTTCAGAGGGTTTAGGGTTTAGAGGGTTTAGGGTTTAGAGGGTTTAGGGTTTAGAGGTTTTAGGTTTTAGAGAGTTCAGAGTTTAGAGGGTTTAGGGTTTGGGGTCATTCCGGGACTCCTTGGGAGGAGTGTATTTCAGAGACCTGCCCCGAACCCGCGAAGCCCTCGAAACTATCTCTATGAGTTTTATAGAAGGCCTGGTTTAGGTTTTTGGGTTTAGGGTTTAGGGTTTAATGTTCAGGGTTTAGAGTTTAGGGATTGTATGAGTCTGATGTTAGCTTAGGGTATGCATCCGAACGGTTTAGGGTTTTTGGGGGTCGTTGAAGTGCTGAGATCCATACCCGGCATGTCCTGACATGTCCCTGCCGACCATCCTAGGACCTGTTGAGTTAATGCAGTATGTAGTTTCTTTAACTTATAACTTATACCAGTAGTAGTTTAACACAGTTAGTTTCTCCAAGCCACCCTTGTACTCAGAACAACTCCAGAACCTCAACAACATAAGGTTCTATAGAGCCAAGGGCGCACCCTGAGTGGGGTTCAGAGTTCGCGCTTCACATTTTGAGCTTGCCATGAGCGAGGATGGCCTGCTATCAAGCTGACGCCCATCACTTTCTTGACATTCTTGCATGCCACGCAACACTGAGTTGGCTGAGGCTTCTCATTTTGCCCTCCCTTCTTGTAGCAGGAGCGATGTGGATCTGGATTGTCCGAACTCTGAATCTGAGCCCCCCAAAGCCCTCAACCATTTTCATTATCTCGACGTGTTATTAAGCATATATAAGCAGAGTTTGTGCATCCAGTTTGCAGACCCCGGAAAGAATTCATGTTGAGACCTCAGAGCACGTCTGCAACAGATCCGCTCCGCTGCAGGCTGAGGGTGCATTCTTTCCCCTGC